GAGGAGCAGACCTTGAAGAGTGGTAAGAAACGCAGCGGTAGCGGTATTGGTGGTAGCAGCCGCTACCGCTGTGTCTGTCTTCACCGTATGACTGAAAAGGGAACAACGAACGTGAAGGAACGAAGACGTGACGGTCGGCCAAAAAATCAGCTGGCCAAGCGGAAAAAAGTGCTCGTCATATTAGTATCGCTATTACTTATGCCCTGTCCCTGCAGAGCCCCCGATGTCCTCCGCGGTGTCCGCTGCTCCACGGCGTTTGTCTCTCGCACCGGCGCGTCAAACTCATACTGACTCCAGCCCGTAGTGGCTATACTGACAGTGATCGTGGCAGCTCAGTGGCAACAACAACGACAAAACTAGAGAACGAGAGTCAGTCAGTGACTGATCTGATCTGGGGAGCGGCAGCCTGCGCAAGAGAATAATGTCCAAATGCGGAAAAAAGGCCTAGAGGGAGGATAGCTTAGCGCGATTTGAGAACAGTGGCGGCAGCAGCAGCAGTGCACGATACCGTACTGTGGGCCAAAGAAACAAGACGAGCCAAACGCGATCAAAGTGGGTGGTGAAGCGCGTATCGAACACACTACCGTAAAGTGGAGCGTTGTAAGAAGCGTGAGTGAGTTTTAGACAGCAGCAGAGACAGCAGCAGGAATCGCGCGTCAGGCGACGGCACATGAAGACGCGACAGGAGGCGATCATTCGAGCGGACGGGGTAAACTGGCTGGGTGGCCAACTAACTGGATGGCTGGGTCGTAATAGACACAGAGAACGAGAAACGAGTACGGATAAACGCGTTATGGACGGTTGCGGGCTTGCCGAGACTTTCAAGTCATGTTAGCATACAGACAAGATATGGTGCTGCCTGCTCGATGACGATGGTGACGAATGGTTAACTATGGCGTATGCCTGAAGCTAAACCTGTAAGTCCCGCAGATTAAGACTTCGCTCAAAGCTAAGTGAGTAAGACATATTATGCCTTCTAGGCACTGCTTCCATCCAAAAAACAAAGAGAATTCTATTGAAAAATTAGAGACCTACGAGCATAAAAAACATAGTTTTTATACCGGCTGAAGGGGTTGTCCCACCATTTTCTCCAAGCTATAGTTAACTACAAACCAGTTGGTCACTTTAAAAGAAAACGAAAACATCCAATTATTTGTGCGACAACAAATTTGCGACTTCTAACTAAGCAAAGGAAGTTATCTGAATCAACAAGTTAGGAAAGCTCTCTACCTTTAATGTATTCCAGGTCGATTGAACAAATGACGAACCCTATGGGGAAGTCATGGTCAGGTCGGCCGAACTTCTCAGTATCCTTCGATCAGCTCTGGTATCCGGTCTTCACACTCAAATGACGCTTGAGTGAGCAATGAAAGGCGGGGCTTAAGAAAAACAACTAATTAAAACCTAGGTCTCCATGGTCTTCCTGATTAGCCATGTCGATGTCTGGCACTCATGTAAGTGTTAAAACATTGAAGCATGGAGCGCCATCTTGTGAGTACGGGGCCATATGAAATAATATGCGTAATATGAAGACTTCTATATCTACTTAGAGTTACGATACGGACACGTGTGGAACGTTGTCGACATCTCAACGAAAAATTCGCTCTTAACGAATTTCAGTGTGAAATTCAGTGTGAAATATTAACACACTGAAGTTTTTTCCAAGTAGCTCTTTTCGGGCGCCATGAAGGTTTGATCCCTTGATAAAAATCGTCTACAGGGATTAACGGATTTGTTTTTGTCAGAGGCGTCGTAGCTAGGTTGACCTTTCCATCTACTTGAAAAATTTGGCTTTTACACGATATGCATGCTGTTATCAAACCATACGATAATAGCGATATTGATCGAAGTGTTTCGGTGACACTGTCGGCCTATTCGTCCTTAGTGCTATCACAAAACGTTGCCTTTTTCTAGTGAAGGGCGCGGGCACACATAGCGGTCCCGCTTCACTCACGAGTGAATATGAGGTTGTAGGTAGACGTTGTCCTTTTGTTTGTACAGGGAGCGCGTAACGGTAAAAGCAGAGACCGGTAGAATGAGCGAAAACGTTTACTGACCGGGTGTGCCACAGAATGGACGCTCACTAAAGAACAGCACCTATCTACGCATCACAAGCATTGGTCACTATCGCCCCGTATAGCCGTTGACGATGGTCGACGAGCCGCTGTGAGTCTTTGTTGGATAGAAGCCGCGTGCCAGGAAGATCCCTTGTCTCAGTGCACGCGGACTAGATAGCTTAGGAGTATCTCGAGATCTATACTGCCACGAGTGATGGCCGTAATAGCATCCATCCACTAGGGTGAAGTTCACCATCCTAAGATGGTACCGACCTCAATGGCTACCCCTACATAGACGGGAACATTGGCTACGTGCTGGGCTTGCAAGTATACGTTTGGTACGAGGTTGTTGTTTACCGTCCAACGCGCTGTTTGCGTATAGCCGAATTTCTCGTTTCGCTATGGCAGAACGAACAACTAAGGAGAACAAGATAAGGGACAAGTTGCAGATCGAAGAAAAGCGCATGAGGCCGCAGAGTTTACCCGTCTGTTCTATCGTCGGCGCCGCGGGTAATATAGCACACCTTTGTCATTTGATACGTTGTCCTTCGCCTCCCAGGAGACTCTCCTTTGGCCCCTTTGTTTTCCTCGCCCCTTTCACTCCCTTGCCTTGCTTCGCATATTTCCTCAATCTCTTTCTCTTTCCTCGTTCGGCTACCGCTGCTTTTGTGGCATCTATTAATAGCCATGCGAAGAAGCAAGTGCATTGCCGCGAACGTAGAAAAGCTGCAGTAGATGTCTCCTTTTTGCTGATCCCTTCGCGGGCATGTTTCTTGTATTGTCGACGATAAATGAGCAAAGGTTTGGGTCACGCAAGCAGACAGCGCAAAAATTGGGCCAGTAACGGCAGTCAGTAGTGATAGGGCTACCGCAACGAAGTGAGCCATTGACGAACAACGCTTGCTGAACTGAAGCACTAGCCCACAAAAGACTCAGTAATCTAGTTGAGAACGGCTGAAGTGGTCCTGTTAGTAATAAAGCATTATATATCCAAGGTAATAAGAGCGACGGCTATTAGTCCGTAGGCGAAACGGTGACCAGCCGTTCCGTGCACGGCACGCGCAAAGCCTCCCTGATTGTAAACGGTCACATCTATGAATCACGTTATAGCACACAGGTCGTAGTTGATAAATCGACAATTGTAAGTAAACCAATGCGAAGTCGCCTGGGACGTCAAAGTATGTGGATCTCGTCCAACTAACTGCGAACTATTAATAACAAAAATTATTAGTTTTCTTTGCCTTTTTCTTTGGACATTTCAACTAACGCAGTTGGGGCAGGCGAGCAAGTAGCTCAATTCTTAATACTTTCATTACTCAAAGTTCGATACATGCTAATGAACTGATCTCTTAAATGTAAAAAGAACCAAGTTGAAAAAAAGGAGTCCAATATATTATATGATGAAAAACAATATGTACGATACAAATTACGTTAGACACAGATAATCTGGTTTCGTTCAAATTACGCGCGTCAAAATATTAAGCTACAATGCACTGCAGTAGTCGCAACGTATCTTATACATATTGTGTGAATGATTTTTTTCATAAGACTATACCGTTTGACGACCAAGTGCGTCTGTTTAAAGCGGAAATAAATATTACAGCGCATGTGAGTGTGCGTTCATCCATGGAATCCTGTGAGGCTCAAGTTAGACTTGAACATTCAGACGTATTTCGGGAGCTATGTAAAACACGGATCGCCGAGGTACAACATGTCGTTTTATGGCAGCCATCCTTCTTGCAATCGTATTTCCGTCGTCTCCCATTCAGATTTTCTACCCTCAACACTGAATTGCCCCTTCTGCTGTCTCGTACGAATTGTTTTCTGCAATCGAGCCGTTGGTATGTCTCGACCCTTCGCAAAGCAATCGAATAACTCCCTAGCCTGTCTATTGAACTGCAGACCATATAGGTCGTCGTGCATGTTCAGCGTCCCCAGCCGATCTACCTAGCTTTAGACTAGAATGGCCAAAGCCACCGGATCATTATACGTCACAGGGTTCCCCTGGTAAGCTGAATAAGACGACATGAACCAGTAGCCAATCGATAAATTATCATAATATAAAACGGTACTAAAAGAAGCCACTGCTAATTAGCTTCAGCATTATTTATCTTCATAGTCGAATCACTTCGTGTATGACGAACGTGCTCAGCGCAAGCAAGCTCAATACAGCCTGCTTCCGATGACTTCGGTCACTGCGTCGATCAGGACTAACGCGAACGGCTAGAAATCAATTTAGCATATTTATATTGACCAGCTTGTTATACATACCGGGTACCGGTAGCCTCATTAGGGGCCTACGCAGAGCAAACCCTTTAGGAACGTCTCATTTTATACCAACTCTATGTAAATTTGCCTATAATATTCTACACTCGATCAAACGGAATATGTGTATTTGAATAATGATATCCAGGATCACACAACTCCACAGCCCCAGTAAGTTATTATCATGCTCTTATCTGTATATCCTCATACAATGCTTACTCAACTTTTATCCTAAATGCTACATATGTAGTAAACTTGTCAAATATCTCAGAAGAATGGCGAATACGGGTGAGTTTGTCGGCAGGGTCCCGTTTGTTTCATCGGGAAGCTGTCAACAAAGTGATTTTAGACATATAGCACATTGATGAATCCTCGTATCACTGAGAACATCGCTTATATACACCTTTCTACTTAACCTTCTCTTTGCCTATTCAGGTTTATATTATACAACATAATATGCTTGGATTTCTGCGATTTCTGCTTACTATTTATTTTTTTTTTTTTTTCAATTTTGATTCGGTACCACAAAAGTGAAAATATCACTCAATGCAGTTGTTATTAGCATCATAAAAATCTGTCATTATTGATCTTATAGGCGTATTTTCGAAGAACTAATAAGTTCTCCCTTTTCGATCGTATCTCATCACTCGTTCGCATTACAGGCATGATTCGAGCACGATGAGCTCCATTACAACAACATCTACAACGGCAACAGTCGTTTTACGTGGCGGGAATACGCCACGTTCTTCCGATCTCGATTTAGACCTTAGCATTCCGCTGCAAATCGTCGAGGCCTCACCTCCACCGTCACCGCTGTCGCCGGCGTCGTCTCGTAGCCCCAGTCCACTCCCGGCATATGCATTGGCTTCGTCAGCTCCCTCATCTCTAGCGTTACGGCTGCTGCCAACCTCAGCAGCGAAAAAGGCATTTCGCCCACTGCCCCCACCCACTCCAGCTGCACCGCAGGTTTGGTTGGATGATCATGACTACATCTATCCGAACCCACCGCACGGGGAGATGTCTGTTTCTAGTGGCGTTACTACTGCCACGATGTGCCCTGCGGCGACAACTAGTACCACGGCAGTTTTAACGGCGGCGACCGCAAGCACGACGTCCGACGTCGTACAAGACGGTACGCTGTTGCCCACGAGAACAGTGCACGCCGGTCCACGGATCGAGCCTGGCCAAATACTTCTGCCAGCCAGGCAGATCGTGATCGTTCAACACCAGCCTACTGGCCAATTGAAAGTTGCACAGCAACAGCAACCACAATGCGCTACAGCTCACCTACAACAATCAGCGCCTCGCGCGTCTCTATCGGTCATTATATCGAAACGAGTAGCTGCTACTAATGCCGTAGGCTATAGCCCTGCAGCTTCAGCTGCGGCTCCTGCTCCCACTACAAACAGAAATTCACAACCAGCTTCATCATTACCAACCTCATTGTCATCGACGACTGAAAAAACGGCCGTCGACTGCCATTTAGTCGGTGTAAAAGGCGCTAAATTCACGGTTTCATCGGAACAGTTAGTTAAAACAGCGACAACCTTTGTCCCCGAACCCAAAATCACGGCACTGTGTCAGCTTAGTGGCTCGAAGCCGTTTCAAGAAGGGCCGCTTACGGTTAGTGCTTCTGTGAACAATCGTACGGTGAAATCGGCTCACGAGACGCAAGATACTGAAGGAGCTTATGAAGTGAGTGAAGTAGTGACCAAGATCGTTGACACCGTTGTAGCTTTGGAATACTGTCGGGATGTGGCCGCCCGTAATGCAGCACATATCAACGCATCAACAGGTGAAAAATTTCTTATAGACAATACAATTTTTGATTTCCGGTATTAGTATTTACATGGAGAAATTAGAATAATTGCAAAAATTATTTTTTTAGATCTTTGTTATCGCTTTTGTCCTTCATCTGCTTCTCAGTAACATCGCAATATTCTACAAGCCAACACAAGATCTATTGCTAGAGAAATATCAATTATTAAATTGGCAGATTTTACGTATCGAAAAATTTTAATAATTTCTAGATAATAGCGACGATTTTTTGCATTATTAAAAACGGCCTTTTAAAAGTATAGTCCTTGACGATTTCTTTGAGAGAATTAACGGTAGCATACGTAACGGTAATTACCGGTTTATATAGATATATATAGTAATCGAAGTTATGCGTACGCAAATCTGTAGAACTTGCGGACCAAAGCTGGTCGCTTGATTCTACTTTTCTCCTTTAGCGTTGAGCTGATTGTCATCGAGTAACCTTACTGTGTACTGCCGGTATCGACGCTACCTACAAGTACATATAACGCTCTGTAGGACCTTAAGGCATCTGATCGTTTTGACAGTTTCTTTCGCTTGCAACATCTCGTAACGGTCTGGGGGGCGGCATCGATCTGCCCATGTACGGCCTCTGTGTGCTCCAGGAGAATCTTCGACTGGTAATACGGAAGTAGAGCATATTGTGTCTAGAATAGACCGAATGTGATTTAGACTCGATTCAAGAGCAACTCATCTCTTAGCTTTCAGTGATTTTATTGAATTTTCAATAATACACACGTCGGGAAACCCCATCTCTGCCCGGCAAAGAGGGCATTGTCCACTCTCTGTTTGCTGAAAAGCGTCAATAATCATAGGAATTCCTTCTTTCATTTGAGATTTTGAAGCGTGATGATTTACTCTGTGGTCTTCAGGCTTTTGATTTTTCCTCGAAGTGACTGCATTACGAGCGAACTGCATTACGGCGAACTAAAGGCCTCATTTACAAGTACTTTCATTAAGCTTCGATGGATTCCACCGGCGCTGTCACCTTTGAAAGTGCTGAAAGTTGAAGTGTCACCGCTGAACGATTTTTTTACTTCTGAAGTAATTATACTCTGGTGACACCATGAACCACTTCTAACCGTAGACCGCCGAGAACGCGATGTAAATATTCACAACCAATCGGTTTTTTTAATAGTTACTGAACATGTTCAACCGATTGAATAAGCCGAGAACAAGCTTATTATGTGTTTATTAATGAGCAGATGATATCTATTTCTTATATCGATTAACGGATGGCCGATTCCCACATTATTAGTATATCGCATAGAAGCAATTTTCAAGAAAAGGAAGGTTCTGCTCTATTAATGAACTTAGACCGCGTAATTAATTTAGAGTAATGTAATTTAGAGTCGAACTTGAAGTTTGTGTTTAACGCATGATGCGAAGTAAGTGAGTGACACAGTAATGCATGCCTTTATATATATATATGCCGACCTTACACAGTGATTTATCCTCTATAGGACAATCTGACCATTCTTATGCGTAGAATTGCTAGACATATATATACCTAGCTCGTTTAGGCGTATCACGCCCTGTAAAGAAGTCCGTTAACCAATTATCCCGACAAAACTTTAATCACTTACTACAAGGAAATAATTAGTAATGAAGCATTAACTTCCATATCGGGAAACCTTACCGCGCATTAAGTCATCGAATCACGATCAGTTTCTATTCACGGCAGCGTAACCGAAAGAAACTGGCGCGTATTTCGTCTAATCCGAATATGAGGGGCATGATGCATAGTTGATAGGACTACTTGCAGAAGAGTCCTTGTTTGTGGGCAAATGTATGATTCATATAGACATCCTGTCCAATGCATGCCCAGCAACTTTATCTCCGTCTGTCTTACATCTTGCAGTCCCTTTGCTTCCAATCGTCGTCCGAATGGACGTCCATTTATCAATAAGTGCTTTACGGCCTCTCGCGGCTATCGACTTCATATGTGGCAAAGAGCCATCGCATTTCGCCTAGCTTTCGTGCAATAATGAAGGCCATACAAAAAGGGACCGTTGAAATCCTATCTAGTACCTCGACTAACGTTTATGATTAACTGCGGTCTCACCCCGCACGGTCGTAGTTGCCCCTGTCGGTCAAAACAAGCAAGAGCGCTTAGCAACACCCTAGCTGGCCACTCACAAAAGCTTGACGTCGATGCTTGACGATGGGGTCGTCCGAGCCCTTCGGCTTTAGCAACGACTGCATGAATAAGGTGCGGAATAACCTAAGCGCTAGAAGTATTTGTATGTAGAGTAACGAGTATGATAACAAGGCGAATACTGTGCATGGTACATGGAAGACAATGAGATCCGTTCTGTTTTGAGAACGTATCATATTTGTTGGTCTAAGCCATGAAGCAGGGTCGCTGACGCATTCGTCATAACACTAACCACCCGCCATAGACTTCGGTCCTATGGGTAATCACAGCCAGTATTCGCTAGACGGTAGACAACACAAGGTCGATATAAAACTAGAAGAGCATGACAGCATGAGAATATACTGCTAGTCAACAATTGAAGACCCACTGAATATAGGACCTTGTCGAATCCAGTACCCTCCACAAATGCCACTAGCACTGCTCGCTACTTTGTTACTGTTCAACCAGGACCTATTGAACTTACTTTAAGAAGTACCAAATAATAGAAAATGTCGGAATATGTCTATATCTCTCTGTCGAGTACAGAACTTTGAATATGAAGGTCCAGAACTTATGCGCTGAGCTTATTTACGAAATTCATCCACGCTGCTGAAAACGCTGCATGTGTAACCATCTTTTTTTTTTTTTTTTTTTTCTCTAAAATAGCTCAAAGCACAGCGGCCGTGAGGATCAGGTTGTCAGGATGATGAAGACAGCAACAGTGAAGGCTCTAAAAACAAGCCAGGCAGAGTTGCGACTACAAATGCTTTCAATGGTAGTCCCTCTTGCTAAGACCCGCCCTCAGTTACTATGAACGAATCTACCGTGAACGAAGTGAATATCTCGTGGCCAAGATGATGACTGGCCTGTCGTCTCCAAGACCTACGAGTGGCCATCGAACTTTGCAATATGAAAATATGATATGATATACATAAATATAGAGATATGTTTATACGGAGACCTGGCGGATAAAGCATTTCTTGTCCCGACTTGCATTCGGTGCATGCGGCAATGGTGTGGGTATTAGGAATACCCGTCCCGATATGTCAAATACATATTCTGTTTGCTGGCATAACCCGATGCCAGTGCTCTACTCGATAGTCCTTAAAGAAACCATTATGAGGTCCTTGTAGCTGTCGCTTTTCGCTGCAGCTGTTAGAAACAATCCTTGGAATATCACACTGATATATCGTCAGATTGCTTTTTCTTCTGCCAAAATTGGTATTCAGCTCGCTTGTATCAAAATTCAATGTAGTAGTTATGTAAAAGATTAGCGTTATTTTCGTGTTAGATGTATCTCTGTAATTTCGATTTATTGACTGAACCCCGTTAGCTAAAACAGCATTAAAAAAAAAAAACTGTATTATAACATGGTTTGTCGAGCACAGGATGAAGATTAACTATAATTTGTGGAAAAGCTTATGTCAAAACATCGTACGTGAATCAGTGTAGCAAACATCTTCAGTCCCTATAGAAATCTTATTAAATGCCGATACGTTTAGCTGACCAGATACGTTGGCTTACAGTTGCTCCGCACATAGTACATGCTTGCATCTATCCGATGGTCGCGCCCCGACCTTCCCTGTAACGGCACCGCATAACGGCTAGGCTTGCAGACCCCCGTACTAGGTTGGTGGGTAACGCATTTGCCCGATGATAGGAAACAATTAGAATCGAAGTTAGGCATAGACACACTTCGACTCGTCCTGCAAACCAATAGTGACGGAGTCCCCAACGGCAGTGCCGGATGTATTAGAAATATTTAGAATTGCATATTAAAGACGTTCAATGATTTCAGTTTCCGTTAAACACTTTGCGACAGATGCGCGTTTGGCATTTGTCGTAGCCGCTAACCTCCTTCTGAATGAGACGCACCCACACAATTGCTTTTACCAAATAAACAGTTGCTAACCTCAATGATTAATTTGCTGACTGGCTTCTTCGACTAGGGTTCTTAACACAAACCAGAAAAATGCAATAGACTGCGAAAAAGCGAACAAGAAGCACAAAGTGTCGCTGGCAGGAAGAACGCGCCATGTCTCACCGTTGCCTCATGTCTCTTCGGAGCCAAGGTAAACGAATGCGACAAGCGGAGTTTTGGGCAGTTGCGCTGAATGATATGCCCAGTTCGTCCCACCCAGCTACCGTTGGAGAAAAGAACACTAGCGTACTTTGTCCCAATGACGCGACTCCGGCCGAACGAAGAGAGCCAGCCAGCTAGCTAAGTTGTCCAATGGGTGCCTGCTAGCGGCCGATACGAAAATCATCTTTGTTAGATTCATTTCGGACAAGCGGCGGAGCTCCGTCTATGCAAACACAATCTTATTCAGACTGCTCGCAAAGGTGCGCTCTAGCTATGAAGAGCGTGTAACATCAGTATAGAGTAGGAAGGAGGGCGGAACGGAACAAAGTTGTGACAAGCGTGTTTGCCTTTAATATTGGTGGCACCCTGTCGTCGGCGTAGATTGTAATAGACCATTTGTAGAGACGAATAAAAAGACAAGAGCTCAGGCAAGTGCGACATAAGCCAGTTTGGACATATCCATATCTGAGTAATGGTACGAAAGAAGCAATTTAGTTGGGGCAAGAATTAGCCCAGTACGAATACGACAATAGGTAGAACAAAATCAAGAGCTAAAATACAGATTGCCTTACAATGCTGTAACATTCAAAAAGTAACTAACGAAAATGTCAGAATACGCCCGTAAGCCTTAGGTGTACGTATTCGTTCTAGTTGCAGAAGCGTGACTTTTACGTTGGTAAATGTACGGGTACCTGTTTGTATGTTAGATTCGTCAAGTACGGGATAGTTACTACTGTGTTGACTTTATGTAGGGTTATGGCTTCGTATGTCTGGCGGAAGAAGGGGGAAGGTTAGACAGTCTAA